TAAGTAATGGAACGCGATTGTATATTATCTGAGTTAAATTGAACGCATTGCAAGTTCCACAGACTGAACGTTAGGGCCGCCGGGCACGCGCTACACAAAGCCGCTCCCTCGACGCTCCGCGTAATTATTATAAAATACGATAATAAATCACCATCTGCTCGCTTCTGTAGCTACTCTCCAAATTTATCCGAACGCTGGGTCAGTCACTGGTGCGCGCAAGAGGAGGCAATTCACGCCCTACCAAATTTATTTTCGTCTAACTTTTGAAGAGTGCTCTGTTTGCCCACAAATTGTTAGATGTAACATCATTTAATAATATATCAACATGTTGTTATGATTGTAGCAAATATTACCATTACTATTAGGTATAGAACTACAGAATTATGATATTGTATGTAATTCAAAACGTTATTTATTCCGTTCAAGATTATTTCATATTTGGGAAATGTATACACATTATACACTGAAATAATGTTGTCTTTTTAGCGTATAAGTTAGAATCTTTTCTTATTGTAGTGCACCCTACCCTTTTTTCTTTCTTTTTTTTATTCTCCTTCTGGGTTGTCTGGAAGAGATTGCTATGTAGCAATAATATCGCCTTTTGTTTTTCCCTCAATATTTTTTTTTCTTGGTGTACAATAGAGAGTATTGTTTTGTATTGTACACTTTACACTGAAAAACAGAAAACATCCATATATTTGACAACAACAGTAATTCGACAATCAATCATTTGTTCTCATAGTATTCACCGAATTTTAAACGTATGTCACTAAACATGTACGTTTACCTTCTAATGAGATAGTTGTCATTGGTGGGCGTGTAAAAAGAAATCCTCACAACGAGCAGGAAAAAACTAACGAACTAAGTCGCGATGTCGCATTCCAAGGCGCTAATTAGTGGACTCATTTCATGTTTCCTTATCTTTCTCATTAGCCAATGTCTTGTTTCAACACTTACTGTAACAGCACTTAAGTCCTGTACATCGTGTCCGGTGTCGGTAAATTATTCACTTGCTAATTAACTCAGTTTGTGTGGATGGGCTTTTAGGAGTGTATACTTTACTTTACCGGCAGGCAGTTCGGCAGCACTTTGAATGGATGTAAATGAAATCTCCGGAACATTGTTTGTTTCGGTGTGGTAAACAAAGCCAGACGCTGATTAGATCTCACAATACCACATTGGAGCCAATGCACCCCGCCTTCTTAATGTTTCTATTGGTCGGACTGTTTTATTCCAACAGACTTGACTGTGTCTTCTGTGACCCGTGTTGCGATTAAAAGCTGTCATTTTTTGTGATCAACAATTAACTTCTTCGAAGTTAATTTGTATATTTTGTAAATTTGTTAGTAAAATGTCAAGGTTAGTGTTTCTTACTGTACTATTAGCTATATTTTATAGTAATCAGATTAGAAACGAATAGACTACACTACGGAAATTCAGAAAATTAGAAAAAAAGTTAAAATATGCAAAAAACGTAAAGAGCAAACCACTGAGGCATTGTTTTGTGTATTAGTATAATGCTCTAGAAACTGATAAACAATTATTAAAAACTAACTTCTCAATTAAATGATTATCATTTGTGAATTAAGACAATGCGTAACAAAAAACTTCTCATTGTCTTAATACAGGGTAAATTTAATAGAAAAATTGTGCTTCCTGGGTCGTCCAAAATTTTTCACTCCTTATTGTTTTGTTTCTCAATTCAAACCGAAACAAAGGCAGAAGTCGAGATCAAAATTATCTATGATTATATACAAAAGTAACTCAATGTTTGTCTATGACCAAAGGTAAACAGATTCATGAAAGCGAGAAATTTGTAGGGGTGGAATGCAAAGCTATACGAGGGGGAGCTTGACAGCCATTAGTCTGTCTATTACCGCTGCCCGAGGTGCAATTAGCGCTGCCTAAATGAATGCCATTTTACAGTCGCTATTATCTCCGTTGCTACCAAAATGTCAAGGCGCTATTATTATTTAATTGAATTGAATTTATTTCAGAAAAATGTTTGCGATAAAATTTATATAATGGCTTTTGATAATTGCTTAGTTAATTTGTTAATCGAATACTATGTATGTCCTTTTTAAATATTAATTGAATAAATTTATTTTTGTTATGTCTGGTAATCTATTTTCTACCGACTTCAGAAGGGAGGAGGTAATGGGATTGTTATAAACGAATTTGCTTAATTCCGCGTAAAGAAAGAAAATTATGTGTCCTGCCCAGTTTTAAGGGAGGAGGTACTCAATTCGACTGTATGTTTTTTTATGTGTGTTACCTCATAACTTTTTTCCGGGTGAACTGAATTCGATGATTCCTTTTTTTATTTTGAAGCTGGTGATTCTCATGTGGTCACATATAAATTTGACCAAGGTGTGACCAATAGGTTTTTGAGTTATTCTTAATAATTTATATTGAAGTCGGTTGTACAATTTTTTTTATGTTAAATTATTACATCTCATTGATGACCTTTTAGCTGATTCTATAAATCGTTATAAGCTTGTATACTTGGTGTAGTGACGGTTTAAGAATATCCATTACCCCATATCGTCCCCGTGAGTATCGTTAGAGGCGACAGAGGAAAACAAACCACGAAATAAGCAGCAGCGTCTTTCTAAAAACAACTAAAAAATAAAATAAAAAACTGCTGTTGCCAACCCGCATGTTAATTGTGGCAACTGTGACAAACAAAACACTCGATTATCAAAGCCTACCTAGCATACGATACAAAGAATGAAAAATATATTCCTTATATTGATACAGTATTGCAGACATGTAAAATTTGCAACACATTTCGAAAGAATAACCCTTTAATTTATGTGTTGTTCGTTTGGAACTGTGTAGGAACTGTATCGATCACCCAACGTCGTCGCCTCTAAAGACACAAGCACAAGGAAACGCTGTTAAGATCTCTTAGCATCCGTTAGATAGCGGTACAACTATCTCGTTTAAACGCGCACGAAAAATGCCAGACCGGCGCGGCGGGGGAGTGAACAGTCAAAGCGAGATGTTTATGAATGCGATCGCAATTACAACGAGAGACGTACAAGACCAGCTATGGACTTTTACGCCTGAAAAATGTAGACTAAGAATAATGAAACTAATATCAGAAGAAGAAAAAAACATGTGTGAAACTTTCAGAAAACTAAACTTCGAGAGAAAAAGACGAATACAGAGTACCAGGAGTAGGAAGGGTTTAATTATTATAATATCATTACCAAGTTTAAAAGTTACTTAAATTAATATAAATATTTTTTTTTTTAATTGGAAAAGGGTACGAAGCACTGCACAAAGAAAAGAGCGAGATAATAGGAAACACTGTATACTGTATTATAATTTCATTATCTCGCAGGCTAAATCGTATAGATGTATATATTTGACCCTTTTTAGTGACGTTTTTTCACTTTCAAATCACAACGATTCTAAAGAAGTTTTTTTTAATACTAGTAATGCTATTAAACATTACTAATATTCCCTTTAACCACTTCTGGTAAGCTTAAAATGCTTGTGTTAGAAGTGGTTCACGACAGTAGTCGAATGGCGGATTCGAACCCACGACCTTTCGAGTTCGCGGTCCGCGCCCTGCCATTAGGCTACTGACGCTTCATAAAAAAATTTACTCTTTGTACGTTTCATAAGATAGAAACAAATAGTTTTCTTACAAACGTAAGAATTTTAACAAGGCGCTGAGAATGAAATTACTATCACTATTAAGAAACTACTGTCGCAGGCAATGAACCACTCGCTCATTTTATGCTAATGGCTTATAGAGAAATGCTTTATGTGTTCATTGTTTCGTGAAACAATAAATAATGGTTGAATTATTGAGATATTGCATGTGCCTCGGCTACAAAGCGAATCCGACCGTCTCAGTTTGTACTTCAATTTATTGTTTCATGAGACTTAGAGTTATGAATATTGTAACGTAAACTATGTGCTAGCTATATGTTGATGTTGTCCTATCTACTCTATATTCTTTTAGGAAAAAATATTTAGTAATAAGTAGTAAAACGTTTGGAATAAAAAAATACGAAAAAATCAAAATTATTGAGAATTCATAAATATGATTCCGTGTCAACTATCGACAAATTGACATCTCATAAAGACGCTGTCGTGTTCAATTATAGAACATTATAAAACCGTTATTAATATTTATTGAGAAATCAAGTCTCGAATGAACTCGTTGGAGAAGTACCTATTCTTTTTTATGGCGCTTTGATCTTAGTTTTTAGAAATATTTTTATAGTTGATGTATGCTGATGTTGATTTCACTGAAATGTTATCGTTTTTATTATATTTAAACTATAATGTTATCCAGATTATCGCTAATTATACATTGATTAGTTTAAAATAAAAGAAAATAAACAACTATCTTAACTTTCATACGTCTCACATACCCTTGCTTCCTTTACAAGACTTCCCCAATTTCCTGAAAGAAATAGTTTAGCAAATTTAAAATTATATAATAAGATAACATATCAATAACAAATTCTAAGCGAATGCTAAATAAAACTAGAATTGTTATCTGATAATATACCTAGGAATAAAATCGTTAGTATGATTAGTTTGATATGTATGATAAATTTATGAGTTACTTTATACGATATGGAATATTGTGATGACAGAATTTTAACGTTGTAAAAGTAACATCATGCTCCAACACAGAGGGTTGAAATTGATTAATTAAATTTGCATAAGTTACCACGCTAGCGCGATAAGCAGGGGTGGTTTAACGTAACGCGGGTGTTTCTAAATATGCGGCTAAAGTCACGTTCCTGCCTCGCCCCTCGTCCTCCCCTATGCAAATGAGGGCTCCCGTGACAAATTGGATCAGAACAGCTCTCGCCGACGCCAATAACCAGCCTGCATTATGTATACTAATAAAAAAACAACTCTGTCCCTGCCCGGCGCTATTTATATTATCTACATCCGGCATCTACATTTTCTACATACAATTTAATATACGTGAGGACACGCGTAACGCTCGGTTTGTTTTGTTTCAGGTGTCTTAGTAGTTAATGTAACTTGGCGAGGGAAGACTTACGTAGGAACTTTACTGGATTGCACTCGACATGACTGGGCGCCCCCACGGTCAGTTTGATTAATTTTTTGTCTATACACATTAAACATATTTGACGAGGTTATTATGGATCCTTTTTATATTTTATCTTCTTTACTAAACAGGTTTTGCGATTCTCCAACGGAGGAATTGGACGCGAGGACGCCGAAAGGTCGAGCTAAACGCGGCCGAGGAGCGGCACCTACAGATATGACCAACTTCACCGAGACGCGTTCTTCGGTACATAGCAAACTGCGCAATGGTGGTGCCAAGGGTCGTCGCGCACTACCCTCTCCTACTCCTTTCACGCCCCCGCGGCCAGATTCCAAGAGAAAGCGCACGTCGGACGCAGAAGAACGTCCGCCAACGCCAAAAGCGAAACGCCCACCACCTACCCCGACTTCACCTCCTCCGGATCCCGTCCTTCTTGAGTGTCCAGAGCCGAATTGCTCAAAGAAATACAAGCATGCCAACGGGTTGAAATATCATCGGTCGCACGCTCACGGTGCGCCTGACGACGATGACAAAGATGGCTCCAGCTCTGAGCTAGAGGAGCCGGCAGCTGAACCAGCATCCCCAGCTCGCCCACCCTCTGAACCTGCTACTCCCGCAACGCCTGTTAAGTCCCCAACACCTGCAAAATCTCCAGATATAAAGAGTGATAAATCACCGGAGAAATCGCCGGAAAAGACGGAAACAGTAGAAGCTTCACCGCAGCCGAGGTTCCCTGAGGAATTCGTGCCAACACCAGAGCCCACTCCGCAACCCGAGCGTCCCCAGACGCCTCCAGCGCCATCGACGCCTCCTCCTGAAGCACTCCCACCATTACAAACGCTACAAACAACACAATTTAAGGTACAAATTCAACATACTTTTTAATTTCATTAAACATTTCAAATTTGAAACGTGTTTATAATAAAATGTCTTGGTCAAGGGTAACATAACATCTAAAGATAAAGGTAATTTATTATTCTAGATTATCAGTAAAATGGCCTCATTCCAATGCAATTGCGTCTTTTATCTCAATAATGAATATGCAATCGATTCGTTTAGCATACTTTAATTATATTTAACGACACGAATTAACTTTTACACTCAAAGATCCTTTTTTTAAAATGAGGTGACCATCTCAGAGGTGACAATGAATCTGTATTTTGATTTTTAATCGAAGACAACAAGGGCGTCGCCAGCCGATGGTCCCGGGTAGGGGGCAAGTTGATATATGTATAGAGGATGGGAAAGTAAAGGTACAAGAGTTATTATTTTAGTTCTTGACTGTACAATAAATAAGACTGGTTGCTTAGCATTTGACTAAATTTTTTTGGTATATATTTGATGACTATATTTTATTGATATTTGATATAGGCGGTGGGGCAGCTGCCCCTTTCTACCCCCCCTTGGCGACGCCCTTGATCGAAGGTATAGACGTCTATGGGTCATTGCAACCATACCATCAAGTCATCAAGGGGAATCTGAGCACGTTTGTCACCCTAACTTCTTAAAAAAAAGCAAATGATATTAAAAGATTAAAAAGCCGAATTATTTGAAAATTAAATTTTAATATCTAGTATTTATAAGGTCAGCGCTTAAAAATCCAGCGCGCATTTCAAGATGCGAAGACTCCCCCCTGCTAACCACTTTAAATAAGTAAAATATACGCGCGTGAAAATTCACATGTGGGACTTGAGTTTTCGTATGTTCTGCACCGCCCTTTGTCAGATGCGTGTACACCGCATCCAAGAATATTGAAGGCGTAAAATACAAGTTGTGTGTTTTGTTTGATTCCAGGTGAAGCCGCGATCGGCGTTGATGCCTACCGAGGAGTCGACGCGTAAGTCGACTGAGTCGCCGCCGGACGAGTCGCCAGGCAAGCGGCGGCGGCGCTCGCCCACGCCGGGCGTGCGCTCGCCCGCGTACTCCGACATCTCGGACGACGCTGCGCCGCCAGAGGGCGCGCCGGACGCAGATCCAGGTCATCGCCCCTTCCCCGTCTACCATCAGGTTTGTTTACTAGCGTGCGCGTTATGTGCTCCTGGTACATTCTCTCGCTTGCGTTAGTTAAATTTTAGTCCAAATACTGTTTGGGACACCTTCTTATTTCTGAGTGGTTTATGGAGCAAGACCAAACGAACTTTCCATGATATTATCCAGCATTAATTACTTATACTTGCAAAATAAGAAAATAAGAGGGAGCTCTTTTATGAAAACGACAGGTGCTTAATGATTAAAGGCTAGGGATTGCGAAACTAAAATATAGGTTTAAATCCACCATTCGCCTAATATCGGAAATAGCCCTAGTACATACATTTTCGGCTTAGTTACAGTGGTGAACAGGAATATTAGTATTTTATAACGTTCCTAGTATTTTGTTCCTAGTATTTCTTTATAAAGACAAGACTAATAATGAGGTATTAGACGTGCGAGATAAGAGACCTAACCTACACCGTGGAAAAAACCAGTAGAGAGACTTTCGACCAGTGGGTTCCGTTAGTCACGGCCGATTACAAACTGAACCACTTTCACTACAACACATCACAAGTTCACTGCTGAACATAAACCCCCAATCGATATCCATAGAGTACGGTCCTGAGCTGTGACTGTTTATTTACTGAATTAGGGGGCTGCCCAACACTGCGCTTGCCAGTACAAGGCGACTCGAAAACCTTTCTTCCCCGTCAGATGTTGGTTCTTCAAACTATATGATCGGCACATTAAACACTTCAGCCTGGTGATCCGCTGGTCTGTGTTAGTTACTTCTTCTGCGGATATTCCGAACATAGTCCTGAGCTGACTGAGCGCACAGAAAAAGAACACCCTTAGATTTGGCAAAACAAAATATTATATTTGAATTACGCATAAAATTTTATAAGACACTAGCGAACAACGAACAGTCATATAACGACGAAAGGATATTAAGCAGGTATAAGTTACTGTAATTTATTTTATAGTCACAGTCAGTTTATAATAAGCCCTTATAATAAACGTCAGTAAAACCTATTCGCAACGAGAAGTAGTTAATTATGAAATTGGATCACCATTAAGCTAAATGCCTCGATAATAGTGAAACTATAACAATATTTCACAATGGACAGTACTACGGGCAGCCGCAGTACTTGCCGCCCACGCACGCGCCTACCGCGCCGCCGCCGACCACCGATAAGGGGAAGGAGGACCTCAGCAAAGGCGATCCCAAGTCTGATCTCAAAGTAATTATCAATCATTTTATCTGCAACTATAGCAATGGCTGCTATTTATTTCCTTAAAGAGAATTTACAAAACACAATATAGAAAGCTTTTAATACGAGGGTGGATTGAAAAGTACTCGGCCTAACCAAGAAAATAAACAAATACTAAATCAGTTATATTTTTATTTTTCTACATAATCACATCAAGTTCAATACACTTTTGCCACCTCCCCTTCCAAGCATTTAGACCGTTGAAAAAAAATGATTCTTCCTTAGAGTCAAAATATGCGTCTACAGCTGCTTTGACCTCGTCGTTTGTCGAAAATTTTTGACCTCCCAAGTGCTTTTTTAGGTTAGGGAACAGAAAGAAGTCTGATGGTGCCAGATCAGGTGAATACGGCGGATGCGGTAATAGTTCAAAGCCACAGTTGTGAATTTCAGCCATTGACTGTACTGACGTGTGAACACGGGCGTTATCTTGATGAAACAGGACTTTTCTTCTGAGCATTCCTCGACGTTTTTCTTTTATTTCCTCTCGTAAACGACGTAGTAAGGTGCCGTAGTAATCAGAGTTTACATTCTGACCCCTTTCAAGATAATCAATCATAATCACACCTTTCGAGTCCCAGAATACTGAAGCCATCACCTTATTTGCCGACAAAATCGACTTAGCCTTTTTAGGGGGTGGTGAACCAGGTCTTCTCCACTGTTTTGATTGTTGTTTTGTTTCCGGTGTACAGTAATGAACCCATGTTTCGTCCATAGTAACAAAACGATTCAAAAAATCATCTGCATCGGCTTCAAATAACTCCAAACAGTCGCGTGAAATAGTCAATCGCGTCCTTTTTTGTTCAACTGAAAGCAGTCGCGGAACCCACCTCGCAGACACCTTGTGGAAACCCAACTCGTTGACAATGATGTTTTGAGTTCGTTCATAAGAGATGCCTATAATCTCGGCTATCTCTCTAATTTTTAATCTGCGGTCTCCCATTATTAAATCAAGTACTTTTTAAATATTTTCGTCAGTAGTTGACGTCGAAGGCCTTCCAGAGCGGGGTTCATCTTTCACACTCTCTCTACCACGCTTAAATTCTGCTATCCATTTTTTGACGGATGAATATGACAGAGCACAATCGCCTAATGTACTGACCATGTCATCATGGATGGCTTTTGATGATAGCCCCTTCTTATGGAGGTACTTAATGACGGCACGCTGCTCGATTTGCTCCATTCGCGGAAATTATGTCCGATTACTTTGTTAATAAATTTATAAAATCACAACTAATTATCGCACACGTTTCGAACTTCACACAATGAACTAGTGTGAACTGAACTAAATAATGTGGGTAGATTTGATTTTTAGAATTGAATGGATCTGTGTTAGGCCGAGTACTTTTCAATCCACCCTCGTAATAACTTGCATAGTATTTTAAGTAATGAATACAAACAAAGTTATTACATTATTAAGAAATATTAAAGTTCATATATTAACCATACCTATATCTCTGAAACATATGTGTAGTATTTCATATTTTAATTGTTCAGCACTAGAAGTGAAAAGATCATTAAAAAAGTTATAAGAAAATGTTATCGATGTTAAATAAAAATAGTTATAGGTATTTTAAATTACAAGAGTTATAGAAAAAAGTAATTTGTTTAATGATTTGTTTGTTATATTTACGCGAATACTACACATTGAATAAAACTATTTTATGGATTTTATATCTCGATGTCATAGTTAAGCTGGCTGGCTACCTTCATGTTTTGAATATTAATTCTTGGTGAGAGCGTCAGTGCTTAATATTATTATATGTTGTATATGTTGTATTAACTATATGTTGACCCGCATGAAAGAACATACTCGTATAGCTGACGTGAAGCACCGACTCTCCGGGAAGTCTGCAGTCTGCTAACATGGTTAAGACCGTCCCCACCATTACATCGGATTTGATATATGGATGATACGCGAGGCTATTGAAATTAAAAAAAAACATCCTAATATCAATAGAGAAAATGGATGGGTGCTGCCATCTGCCTACGAACCTATAATTAAGAAAATTAAATCCAAACCCGAGCATACCACTGTAAAACTTCAAGATGCTGTAACTCGTTCTGCGTAGATCAGACCAAAAAATTAATTTTGATTTAATTTTAATGATGTTAATCGGAATGTCAAACATCTCAAAACGTCGAGAAATAAAATAAGTAAATTAAACGCGATAAAAATCTGTAAAAATAGTTTTATTCAACACTAGTTACGCTAAACTATTATGTATGTATATGCAATTGATGGTTTAATATTTTTAATTAATTAATTTAAATGTTATTCCAGGACGGCAAACCAGAAAGCGGGCCGCAGAAAGTACTGCCGCAACATTTTTACCCGTACAACTATGTCCCAAATTTTCCCTACAACGTGGAAGCTGGGGCACCTCCAGGAACCCCTATTGAAGACAAAAGCAAGACACTCTCCGATCCCGACCGGTCCAAAACCACACCGAGCCCCTTAGACAAGAGCAAACAACCCAGACCGGCCGATGGCAAAGAAAATCCGGCCCGGCCCAATGAAAACCATCAAATACTGAAAGAGAGTATAGAGATGAAAGCGCAAATGGGCTCCTACGCTTTCCAACGACCCCCACACACAAGAGAAGAGGAGTTGAGAAGGTACGTAAAATTCTGTACTTATGAAAAATTCCACACTACACTGATATTGCTTAATATATTTTATGATAATTTTTTACAATAAAGCTATATTGTAAACATCGGTAGTAAAATATTGTATGTTTTGAAGTATTTTTATTAAAATTACGAGCTGTTCCCCGCGACTTCGCTCGCGTGTTAGGGTTTTTATGTTTTTGCGCGGAACTCTAATTCTTTTTCTAAAATAAAAGTGAATGAAATTAGCTATCTGCCAGTGAAAGTCCCGTCAAAATCGGCCCAGCCGTTTTGGAGATTAGCCTGAACAGACAGACAAAAATTTTAAAAATTGCATTTTAGTTATAAGTACCGTATTTACTTTCATATGCATTTAGTAAAAAACTGTAATTTTGACATTACAAACAGACACTTCAATTTTATTTATTTGTATAGATGTGTTAAATAACATGTTTAATTTTTAATTATATTTTGTATTATAATTTTAAGACTGTACTTTTTTAGATATCGGATTATATCTATAGAATATTTAAAAGTAATAAATGAATCTCCTTGAAACAACTTCTTTTCAAAATTATAGCTCTTAATTTTGTATTTGATGTACGTACAGTATAAATAGTAGAATAAATAAATAACTAAACTTATGCAAATCCTAAAAGATATTTCAATAATATTCAATAAGCAAGTGGATGTGCATTTTGAAAACGATTGGTGATGATAATAGGTGTTTTCAGTGGTATTGCAAGGCCAACCTAACCCTAAAAATTGCCAGCCCTAGTAGACCCTGGATCAAAATGTCTTAAGTCAGTTTTCCGATAAATTTGGAAGAAGATAATATGGGCCTTTATTGTTGATACTGATATCAATTTATCAATACTCTATTTGTATGTTGTATTGCATGTCATTATGCATACTGTATAAAATGAGTATCAGTATACTAATCAATATACAGATGCGTTGTCAGTCGTGAGGACTAAGATGTAATGCCTCGTTACCAGTAAAAAGTGTCTCCGGTTCTCTACACTCACCATACTAATATCACATAATATTATTCTGCTGTTTCTTGCTGTGTTCTGTGAGAGCGTGGTCCTACCCCGATCGAGCTCACCCATCTCTACCACGTAAAAACTATGACACGGTGTTGATTTTCTAGGTATTACATGAGCCTGGAGCAGAGGCGTAAGGAGGGCGGAGAAGTGAAACCGGGAGGTCCGCCTGTTGGCCCACCGGGGAGTACAGGAGTTGTAGGGGGAGCGGGGGGAAACGGTCCCCCACGTGCCCCTCAGCCCGCGCACAAGCCTCCACCCAAGGATAAAGAAGATAAACCGAAAGAAGAAGTAAAGGTATGATTTCACAAGTATTGTAATTGTAAGTAATTTGCCAGTATTGCCAAGCGTCATTTAAATTACATGAAAATACTGCTACTGGAAACAGTATTTTGCCGAAGATGGAGGACACCATATCATCGCAAGCTTGACACAAGATTACATGTTTATAAATGGATTCTCTGTCATAATAATTGACTTGGCATACCTACATTGCGGACCTTTCTGGTAGTCATGCGTCCTCGGGAAATATTATTTATTTAATTTATTTAATTTTTCACTACAATTACTATCGTTTTCAGGTAAAACAAGAGGGTCAGAAACCGACAACAGAGACACAAGGCCCGCCCCCTCCCCCGACATCCCAATATTACCTCCCGCCGTACATGCAACCTCCGCACTACGGTGCATTACCATTTGACCCGGTATACCGAGCGCCATTGAGCCCTATGCTGGTCGGCGGCTACGGTGGTGGCTGGACGGTACCAAGGTATCATGCGCCGGAAGATCTCTCTCGGCCAGGGGCGCCGGGAAAGTTGGAACTGATACCTCCGGGGCAGTATTACGGGGGGCATAGTGGGCACGGGGCACACGGAGCGCATAAGATCCACGAGCTGCAGGAGCACGCGAAGTCGCCGGTGGGAAAGGGACCGCGAGCGGAGGCGCCTAAGGAGGGCACACGCTCGCCGCCGCCGCAGCGGCACGTGCACACGCATCACCACACGCACGTCGGACTCGGCTACCCGCTCTATCCGCCGCCATATCCCGGTACGTTGTCAAAGTCTACCTCTTTCACATTAATAATTTCCTGGTACTTTGGACGCAAAAATTATTCAAAAACACTCTGGTTAATAAGTTCCTCTTTCTTTTCCTTTGTCAGCCCGTAACTGTCTGGATGACACGAGTCTTTCACAATTCTCCACGTCGCCTTTCTGAATTATACGGTTGATACAACCGTTATCTATCGTTGACCACGAGGTCTTTTTTGGCATTTCATGTTAGCAGCATAGTTTTATTAGCACGTAGGAATAACGTTAGCTACATTTGATATACGCATATAACGGTCCGGGCTTATAATCCACGTCGTTTATTATCCACATTAAGCGATAAACATAGCATTCTTTAACTTTTAACAACAATAACATATTCGAACCAGTAAACAATATTCTAACATGTTCACTATTTGGGTTGTATAAGACTATCATGTTATGCAGGATAATGTCCTAATAATAACTTAGCTGCTACTGTCGCCCGAGCAATAGTTGTTTACTAGTGCATGCACATAATTATATTTCGTAGTGCATTTTGTCGTTTGAGCGACTGAATGATTGTTTAATAATTAAACTGTCGTTTGAGCGACCAATCGGTTGTATAAGCGACCATCCTGTCTTTTATGATAGGACACGATTATACATACGCGAAATCTGTAACAGCTATCGGTAGTAACAATTCTGAAGCCGAGTAACTTTTAAGAAGTAATTAATTGTTAGTCGTGTTTATGTGGGAGCTAATACAAATTGAAAAAGCAACAATTGTTTAGGTGATACCACAGAATATATAATATACAAGAAATTATATTACTATCATAATACCTTCCCATTAATTGTATTAGTTAGCTAAAGTTAGTTAAAACTTGTGCACGAATTTTCAATTATCTCTTAAAGCAGCTGTGAAATTAACATTGCTGTAAATTCAACAATAAAGCCAATGAGCATAATGATAATCACTGCGTTTAAAGCAAATCCTTGTGCCAATACAAGAATTTGCTTTACATAATTACACAAGTAACATATTCAAATAAGATTATTTAGTCTTTTCAATTGATGAAATTTATAAGATTAAAATATCTATGAAGCTGTCAACTCAATGCAGAGGCACAGTTGTCTAATCCTACCCATAATTATTAATTATCAAAAAAGTATTGGTATTAGTGGTTTAGAGGATCGAGTAACGGTTGTGAGGTAAAAAGGTCAGCAGTCAAGGTAGCTTTTATTAAGAAATAAAATAATTGGTGTTTTGGAATAAATATTAGCTTCAGTTCTAATTCGAACCCAGGACTTCCATGCTCATAGCGAGATACACTGTGATCAATTAGGCTGCATAGTCATCGTTCTATTTAAATAGCATTAATACTTGAATTTTTATTGTCTCTTACGATTCCTAAATTAGCCGTGTACTAGGCCATCATAAAAAATATTAAACCAATGTTATAAAAACACATAATATGCCTTTTTAATGTTAAAAGGCAGTTGTAACAAAGAAATGCATTTTCTTCCTTTTTTCCAATGCATTTATATTATTTTTGGAACGCATCTTCTCTACAGCTGTCAGCTTCGGTTGCCTCTAACTAACTGTGTCTAATGTGATTGGTTACAGGGGCGCGATAGCATTCGGCAGATAAGCGGCCGAGCCCCGCATAGTCCGTGTAATTTCACTGTAGAGAGATGCCTTTCGAAAGAAAGAGTGAGAGAGAGATGAGAGATGCGTGCGAAAGAGGCACTAATGGAAGATTGTGTTTTGCAGCGGCTGCGGTGTTAGCGAGCACACAAGCGGTGGTTAACTCGTTCCCAACGCCGCCAAAATGAACAAACTAACTCACGAATAAGGATTCCTTCATCAGAGAAGCGTCGTGGCGTAACCACCACGGCCCGGAGACATGCGGGAACCCTGAGACTCAAAAGGAGCGCAAAGATAACAGTGGACATGCATGTCAACAAACCGGAAAGAACAAACTTCACGGATAGTGACGAACAATGTGATGTAACAGACGACATGTGTGAACGGACAAGTCGAACATTGACAGTGATTCACCGGTCGATATTTTATTATAAAAGCCAGTAGCCATAATTAAACTGTGATCTCGCGTAATCCACATAAAAAGTGTAGGAAATGTGACGTGCGCTTTGAATGTAATAGGATGTGTACGAACTGATAGTTACCTGAAGTGTTGTAGATGAAGAGTGTTGTGTTTCAAAGACTTCCCAATTGGATGTTGTGAACGTTGTGTATACCCCGATACTGTGGACGTGGTTTGGACGTTTCGCACTTGCTGTCCTCATGGTATTGTTTTTTAAATATGTTAACTAGTGAAAGCACAAACTAGTTCTGTACATATTAGTGTTATGTGTAAATTATCCTACTTAGTCCCATGCGAATTAATTGTAATATAAAACATCGAATTTTGATTCCCTCTTTGGGCATTGTACTGAAGTTTTTCGCCCCCTCACCCCTTACCGAAGTATTCAAGTACAGCCTAAAAAAAATTAAATGAAAAGAGCATTCCACAAAGCAACAAAAAATCAAGTGTACCTTAGTTTAAAACTTAAGATTAATTAAATAATTAACTAAGATAGTGTAAGTTTAAAGGCGTCAATGTGATCATTACAATATGAGTCGTAGTGTGCACAAATCGTACTCTTTCTCAATATTGATGAGGAACGACTATTTATATATAACGTAGAGAGCATCCTATAGCATTGTGGAGTGTTTGAATATTGCTGTGCGTTTATGTATGTCTGGCTTTTAATGATTATTGTAAAGAAAAATTAAATCTCATACTCCAATATTCTCTGTCACAAGGATTAGTGTCTCCATACCCTCAGTACAGCATGATAGTTAAGAGCTGCATTTTACGGGTGTATCCTGTTCGGTAATGTGTTGAGTGTATTGTTTCATACAAAAATAGTCTTCCAGTCGGTTGTTTCATGCGACTGTTGCAATATTTTTTTGTGTCGATGTTTATATTGCCTATTTATTAATATTGTAAAAGCAATAGGATGACTGTTGCTTTGTAAGTATAATCTGGGCTAAACGACTAAACACAAGTGTGGACTTTGGGAGAATGTAAGAAACATTTTGATGTAAGTAGTAAAACATTTATAACACTAGAGATGACGTAAATACATGTAGTGACTCACTATATAACGACAATTTAAAGTCAATGTACTTATGTACCTGTCTTAAACAAAACCGATATTTATATAAAAAGCGGGGCCTAAATACCTAAGTTATATAAAATTAACAAATCAAAATATTGAAAAATTGTGAACCAGTGTTTTTTTATTGTACATTTGAAACTTAATTTTACATTTAAAAAAATTCTAAAGCATATTATGTGTAAACAACTGCCTGGCCGATGTTTTATAAATAAAATTGGAACAGTTAGAGCTTCTTCAGTACAAACTGTTATTTCCTAAGCTAAGTCGAAAATATAATTTGGCTAGAATGAAGGCTACATATGGCCGGCTTAAACCCTATTGTATGAACATTTATACTCATATAAATCAAAAACAACCGAGATTCAATTAAGTTTACTTATATGAGAAAAAAATCATTATCATTTAATAAGCAAGAAAGTGACAGCTGTCTATTTTGTGATACACTAAATATCATTTATGTGCAAGTGGCTCTCTTTAATTTATTGTATTGTAATGGGTTACATCCAATATTTTGTATGATTTATTTGCAAATGCTACTTAATTGTTTGTTCGCTTTTTACATAAGTTGGAACATTTCTGATCAAAATTTAGGAAATAAAACATAAAACGAATAATCTTCCAAAGTAAAAGGGATTAATTTCGTGCCGACTATTAACATTCGAATATGATTTGTTGTGTGAATGTTGTGAGAGCATGGATAACTAACATGATCTCATGCAACTCCTGTGCATCGTTGACGGATTATAAACATTATAGACTGATTGTTTTCTTTTTATTACTCGATTTATGCGAAAATGCAAATTTTTAGGAGCTTTCGTTTATTTTTTAATGTACCAATATCCATTTGGTACGCAACACCACATTGTGTGATTGTTGCATCTGTATATCAATATTTGTGTATTTTTGGTGTAACTAAAGCAAAGTTTGATTTTCTTAGAAGAGAAATGGAGACGTTAAAAAGGAATAATAAAGATAAATTATTTCTTTGTGATGTGTTTTATTTTTATCCTTAACTTAATGAAGATCTTTCTTATGAACTATTGCCACATATAAATTATGCTATTTAAATTAGTTAGATATAAATTGACTAGGACACTACGCATGTAAAGTTTATATTCATGGTAACTTAAAATTATTTATATATCTATTGGTGCAATAAATAACATTAAAGCTTAACATTAAGTCAAATGACAAATATTAAAAAAATAAGAATACAATAATTACAATTATAGTGCAGAATAAAAAAAATGAATTATGGGATCTTTGGCTGTACAATCAAGTAACCAGGTCGAGTGGAATTAAAAACCATTCACAAAATACTTAAAACAGGTACAAAAATATATCAAATACACGGTAAAATGTCACAGTAACTTCGGCAAGTTAGATATAACTAATCTATCTAATAATATACCTCTTAAATATAATACTGTATAAGTTATTATTACATTTTGTAATATACAAATAATTTTATTATTAAAAATGTCATCAGTCTATATCATTAGGTCTCAATTGCCTCTCCCCTTCAGTCAGAAATATTTGCATGGCTTTATACAGAAGATACAGTCCAAGCATACGTCGCTCTTTCAAAGGCCAAGAAGCGGCAACACCATAGTAATTGCCACTTTTTAAATTTTTCAAATTTTGTATTCCAAGAACATCAATCATCGCAGCTTCGTAGGTGAAAGCTTCTGCAGGTATAACATTTTGGAAAATGTGGAGACATATCACACCTACTTTGTCAGACCAGATGTCTAAAATGTGCTGAACTTTTTTATCATTTGAAGTTTTAAAATCTCGTTTCCACAAGGTTAATGCTTGATATAAATGCGAGTAGGGTCTGGAACGTTTACCTGAAAAATGTAATTAATATTTTATTTCTACTAAAAATGTTATAATATTATAATGTATATATTTTTAATTGAAATGAAAATGAAATCCCTTATCGTATCTCAAGTTTGTCTTGTAATAAATAAATGGATGAGTATTTTTGTTCTACTGAGTAATTAACTTTTATTAGCTTTTTGAAAATCAGAATATTTCATTGGTGAATTTCATTCCATTCCAAATATGAATAAACTCAGCAGGAAAATAATGTGGTTATGTAATGCATTATGAAAATATACACGAAAATTAAAGTAGTTATACAAAAATAAGTGATATTCATTCTGTAAACACTAGGAATAGACACAAGCTAGTAGTACCAGTTACTCGACTCCATCGAGTCAGTAATTCATTCTTGGGGCGATGTATACGCTTTTACAACAAAATTCCAGAAAATATACAAAATTTGACCTGCTCAAAGTTCAAAAACTTTATTAAACAAAGTTTGTATAAAAAGGGTTATTATAATATTAAGGAATTTATGGATGATAATAACCCATGGGAATGAGGTGACCGCTACGAAGCTATTTCTAATTTGTTTTGTGTGGTTGTGTAACATACATGATTGTAAGCTGTTATTTAAAAAAAAAGTCCCACTGAGTTTCTTGCTGGTTCTTCCCAGGACAGAGGTTTTTTTTCGAACCAGTGGTAATTAAACAAAAGAGTGACTTTCAATAAGTATTATTTATCATTTATATTAAATAAAAAAGTTTCTGTTTCTGTTGATAAATGGCAGAGATACAATATTCAACACCATCATTATATTTCCCCCTGAATAATTACTGCTTACACCACTGCTTGCTGATGATCTCCTAGTGTTACCTGCTCTTGTTTCTGATAAGAAATCACTACTGCATGTCGATAACCACTCATTTGTTTCATTTTGAACTACTGCCAAAGCTCTATCTAAATCTACGGATCTATCGCCTGTGAGATGATAACTATCAAATGTCATTCTTTGCATTTAGAACAGATAGTAGTCCAATAGTCATACAAAGATAGTTTTTAGTGAGCTCATAATAAAGTTATATATTAGTTGCATGTGAATATTGATATAATAGTACAAATTAAGTTGGTTGTACATCATAAGTACTTACCCTTTCCAACATAAAATATAGAATTTATGAATGTAACCCATGCTTCATGAGGATTTTGTTTGTTAGCTTTTGCTGGTAAATTATTTGTAAGTCTTGGGTCAAGCAGAAGATAAGTAAATGAGGTTTTGGCCGTGCCTTCACGCCATTTTTTGTTAGGATTAGCGAAATCAGCCCGAGCTTTTCTTTCTAACTCCAAGTATGGTGTTAAGTCTTTCATCCAATCTGCTGTCCGTATTGATTTTTCTAATTCAATGCTGTAAGCTGTTGATTATTATTAGAGTTAATATCATAATGCATCAATAAAATTTCAAGTACCTATAATTATTTAATTATTAACTAATTAAGTAGAAATTAATTTAGATATTTCTAAAACTTAAATGAGAACAAAGGTGTGTTTAAAAGACCTCTAAAATTGAGTTTTTTCCAAAACTGAGATTTTATTTGTAATGTTTTAAAAATCATTGTAAAATAAATCAATATAAAAAATTTTGTAAATATTATTTAACTTACAAGATTTAAAACTGACAGTAAATTTTGACAACAAGGCAACAATATAAAAAAAGGTTTAATATATTTTACTTACTTTTTCCTTGTTTGTTTATAACAATAGGACTTTTCTTGAGTGTCTGCAATTTTTTCAGGTACAATGTTCTAGTATTTTCGTGTATA